AGAATCAGCGCATTAGTCAATACTCTTCAACCCACCCTGGCACGTGTCCTTCGAGTCCACCTACTTCCACACAAATTAACAATATCGCACCACACTCAGACGGACTTACAGTTTTCTCATCCGCACGCTGCCTCTCATCTTCAGTTCCCCTGTTACCACATTATGGCACTACTGTCCACTTTGCCTCTATATATTTGCCCCTTCCCCCATCGACCTGACAGTAACCACAACACTGCCGTGACTTCGTTAACCCAAACACAAAAGTTGGATGATCAGTACTATTAGACAACTGAGTTCCTTTCTACCGCACCATGTACTTACGTCTACCAATGCGTAAATGCCAGTCACGTAGCCCGAAATCTCAGTATTACCTGCCCTGCCACACGGAATATGGCCTATGTCTAGACAGTGCTGCCTAATCTCTAGAGTAGACTTAGTTGATATCTTATCCCCCCGCTCCCCTCCGACTCACACCGCTTCCACATCGCCAAGAGCGGTAACCACCCATGGAAGACAGTGGAACGTTGTAACAAGTAGCATACCTCACAGGGCACTGCGCACACACACACATCTACATCAATTTCGGGAAAAAGGCACCCTCAAAATTGAGGAGGAAAGAGCACACCAGGGACGAGAGCAACCATTTGGTTGCACAAGCAAACCACATAATCCGTGTACACGCTCTTGACCCCCACTCATGATGTACTCATTGTAAAAGAATAAACTAAAACCCGTGGTGCTTGTAAAACCTTTTTATCTGAGTGTAGAAATGGGTGCAGGCTGCGGCGAGAGTTCACCCAACGTGAGAGATATATAATAACGTAATTCGTTATCCATGCTGGTCTATTTCCCTATATCAATTCGTGAGATACACCTGGTCTGAGTCTTGTGGTAACATATGATATAGAGCTGACTCACAATTTCGCCCGCCTCCGCCGGGATTTTCCACACCGCGCAATCGCTATTACTAAATCAACATAATTACCTGGTGCCGATTAAATACTGTACCGATCATCCCTTGATAGTACTGTCAACTACCCCTGTTTATGATATACTCACACCCTACAAATCTCGAAACTCTATCCTGGAAAATACCTGTTTGTGCGGAAAAAACCACTGTTGTCAACTCATCAACTTATGTTGTCTGTCTTTGCAAAGTGGCTCAACAACTCTCACACCCCACTAAAACTGGGTCAGCCCACAACAGTATCATTAAACAACAAAAATTGACGTCACCATTGTACCCTCCCCCATGAATGGTCCGCTTCTTCCCGGACACAAAACAAAAATTGGGTCAACCACAGCCCTCCCGTTCCTATTAAGCACATTGCCGTACGCTGAATATATGACCCTGGAGTGCTCTCTGGGTTGCACTCACACTCTCTATCGCTCTCAGAGGATGAACGTTCTGGACTCCCCGCTGTCTTTACATATTTCACGCGCGAGTCCACACTGCCCGGTTGCTTCCACTGCGGCGATCATCATGGCGCCTTGCGACAACTTCTCCAGCTTTCTCAACATGCACACTCACACATACCCGCATAGCCTTCCCCCTGTCCCGCCTGTGGATGCAACTCAATCAACTTCGCGGCGGAAGCTCGTCCACTCTTGCGACATAACTGAACATGACACACGCTCCGACACTACTAAACTGCGCTGAGAGTCCACCGGCACCCCTCCTCCACTTACATGAATCTCGGATGAAAGACTGCCTGACGCTGCATCCCGATATATCTAATTTGTACTCTTACCAAAAAGAAAGACACATATGAACACACCCCCACCCACTTCACGTCCCCTCATCTTACATCCTCCCCCGCCCGTGTGTACCACCATTCCTCGATCATGCCCTCACCCGTATTGACTAACGCCTACAGTCTCTTTCTTCCCGATCAGAAGGAGCACGCAGCCAGAGCGCTCTGGGTTCACTTACGCCTCACTTTAATCCCACGATCACGACACCAGGACCACCCTACAATATCTCCCTACCCCTCCTCTCCCACCTCCACCTCCGCCTCCCTTTTTCATTCCTCTTTCCATCTTCCCCCCGCCTCGACTCCCCGCCGTCCGCTGCCTGCGTGTCGCTACGCCGACACGCAGGCAGCGCTCTCACGTCAACGGCACACACCCCCTGCCCACGCCCCGCCTTCTCCTCTCTTCGGACGCTGTCTTCCTCGCAGATTGTCTTAGCTTCCTTGCTCCACTCATTTGCACCCCCCCCATTTTCCGGCCCTCCGCTCCTGCGGCCCGCATCTCTTTTCCGTCTTCACGCGCCGCCCTGCGCGGACTCCGCACCCTCCCCATGCATCCTCTTCTCCCCTTGCCCCCTGCCCATCCTCCTCCCACCACCCCTCCCCTTTGCTCACCCCCGCACCCCTCACTCCAGTCGCCCTTTATCCCTCCACCCCACATTCCTTAGTCCTGTGGCCACACTCTACCGATGCCGCCTTGGCTCTCCACCTCACTCATCCCACAGGCGCCTTTCGCCTATTCATCACCTCTGTCCTTCAGTTCACCACCCTTTCTTCCACCATTCCCTGTCTTTCATTCCTTCACGCCTCTCCCTTCCTCCCCACTTCCACGACCCCCCTTCACGTGTTTTTGTTCCCTACGGCTGTGCTCTGCCGCCTATTCTCTCTCTCTCCCAGCCACGGCCGCCCTTTTCTTTCCTGTCCACTGCTCACACCCCCAGGATTCTCACCTTCCGAGTTCCGGTTTATGGGTTTGCTCGCCCGCTCTGACCTGCCGTGCGTTCCTCTGTTTCCCGCTTTCTCTATGAAAACACCTCCCGTTCTCTGCACTGTTCCCTTGCCGCGCCCTCTGCTCCCCTCCCTTCAGCACCCTTCCGGTCATATATCCTTGGCCCCTTGGCACCCCTGAATACTCACCGCACTTTCCCCATTCCCACCGGTCATCCACCCTGCCGCCTTTCTTTGACTTTCTCCCGCGCTCTACCCCCCACCATCCTGTCGCCCACGCTGCCCTGGGAGTGCTACCCTGTCTTTCCGTACCGCTCGCAATCCCCTCCAATCACTCTGCCATCACTCCCCTTCAACCCGCCACCCCCACTACGCCTCCCACACGCCCCACTTACCTCTCTCTCCCACCACCTCCCCACCACACAACACTACCACCACCCCCGCACCCCCCCCACCGGGCGGAGGCCAATACCAACCACCCACACGCGACCACAGCGCGAGCATTACTCAACCTCTCCCCACCCACCCTCGCTTCACCGCCCCTGCGCCTTCTCACCCCCCCCTCACCCCCCCCCGCATTCCACCCCACCCCCCCTCTCCCATACTTCTTTGCCTCTTCACCTCCCGCACCCCTGTCCATACCCCCCCCCCCACCCCACGGCTCTCACTCCCTCGCCGCACACCCCTCACACCTTTGTTTCCTCTCTTGTCTCTCACAGCCCCTGCCCCTCCCACACCGCTCCACCCACCTCTGCATTGTACGACCCCACTTTTGCATGAGTCGTCTCACCCGCACCCCCCCCGCCTCCTCCTTCGCTCCCCTCCGGCCCACCGGGCGTGCCCACCCCGGCCCCCACTCTCACCCACACCCCCCGCCCTCGGTCCCCGTCAAACGGGGTCCGATCCCACCCGTCACAAAAACCTCTATTTCTCCTCCCCCCTCGGCCCCACCCCCGCCACTGCAGTCAACACTCTCCCCCCATCCGAACCGCCGGCGCTTGCCACACCGAAATCGCCCCACACACCACCCCCCCCACCCCCCCTCCCGTCTCACGCAAGCCAGCGCACTGCACCTCCCACCGCCACCCCTCACCCCCACCCACCACCACCCCACCCCCCATCCGCCCCGCCCGCTCAAGCCCGCCCCCCTCCGCCCGCACCCCACCTCCGCCCCCGCCCGGCACTTGCCCTGCCCCACCCCCCCCACGCACCTGCCCCCCATCCCGCCACCGGCCCCCCCCCTGCTCCCCGCCCCGCCCCCCCCCCTCCCCTCCCCCCCCCCCCCCCCTCACCCCCCACCCCCCCCCCTCACCCCCCCGTCCCCCCCCCCCGCCACCACCCACACACCCCCCCCCCCCCCCCCCACCTCACCTCACCACCCGCCCCCCACCCCCCCACCCCCCCCCCCCCACCCCCCCCCCCCCCCCCACCACCCTCCCCCTCACCCCCCCCCCCTTATCCCCCCTCCCTCCCCCTGTCTGCCTTGCCCCTGGGGGTTGTCCCAAGAAAGTTTCCCGTCCCTCCCTGGCCTGTCCTTTTTTCAGCCCGCATCACACCAGAACACAACAGCAGACAACAGACACCAACACGCACAACAACTCTCTGTCCTCGGCACGCCCCCTCACACCGCTAGCCACCCAACTGAGACCATAGTACGCTAACCTTGTCCATCTTCACACCCCCGACCCGACCCATCGCCTCCTCCTCTGCGCCTATCTTGTCCCCCATTTCACCCATTTCTTCATTTCTCCCTGCACCACCTTCACACATCGACTCCAGTTCTCCACTGCGTCCACTACCCTCGTGCCCCCACATGTGTTTTTTCGTTCCCCTGTCTCCCCTCTGGGTGCTTTTCTGCAGCCCATGGTTGTTTGTCCTCCTTCACTTTCCAGTGGCCACATGTGAGCAGCTGATCCCTGGGCTGCCTCTCTCCATGGGGTTGTCTTACAACACGTTCCCATCAGTTGGCCTCCCCTGTCATTTCCTGCCCAATGTGGTTTGCACACACCTGACTTTTTAACCGCCCCTCCAGCACAAGAACACCTCATGCGACCAGACCATCTTCCCCACAGGACAGCCATGGCTTTCTTTTCCATTGTTAAAGCCTCTGCCCTTCTTTCTCCTGACCACGCCAGCAGCTGGGACTTCCAGTCATTCTGGTATTTCTGCCCCCTAACGACCATATTTCTTCTGTTCCTCATGTTGTAATATTTGTCTGTAAAATACTTTTATCTATATATATTATATATGGGATAGGGCTTAATAACTCCAAAGCTCTCTCTCTCTCTCTCTCTCTCTCTCTCTCTCTCTCTTTCATATGAGGTGTTACATGAAAAAGATGACATTTTCTACCATTAAATTGAATTAAACTTCCAATACCTTTAGTTTTCATTACTATTAATACACATCGCTCTGGTGTAGGTAATAATTAGATTTTTGACAGAATTGGTAAAATGAAATGTTTCTTTGTCATCTCCAACAGATCATTTGATGATGTTTGCCTTACCAGGAGATAGTATTTCTTTGCCATGTGACATACCCTCTATTGAATCCTGCTCCTCTATTAACTGGAACATGGCTGGACAGTTTGGAACACTTATTGAGGTGGTGAAAGCTGGAAGTGTGACGGCTCCAAACATCCTCAGGGTCAACCTGCAGTGGGACTGCTCTCTGAAGATTAATCACCTGGTACTCAACGATGCACGACTTTACTCTTGTAACAATGGAGCACTCCATTCAAATGTTTCGCTACGGATTCTTGAACGTGAGTTGTTCTTTTGTACCTCAAACCATTTCTTGAATAAGCTGATGACTGTATCATGGTAGTTACATTTTTTTGTTTTCATTCCCCAGTTATTGAGAGCTTGCCTCCTGCACATACAGACACAATAGAGCTTCACTGTTTCCTCAACACATATGAAGGATATAGGGTTTGCAACAACAGGGGGATACATATCAAGTGGAGTACTGAAGATAATACACCTTTTAAAGGAAATAGATTTCGCTTTGAAAACCCTTCTGAGTGCTTGTCTAAACTAATCATCAAAAGGAAACAGACAGACCATCACAGAAAATGGAAATGCCAGCTATTTCAGAATAACACGATTAAAGCCGCCATCAGTTACACAACAACAGTAAAAGGTACTAAACACCACTTGAGTGTACTCAAATAGAAAGATGTGGTTTAAGATGTACAAAGTGTAACCAGTGCTCCCTTTCCCCCAGATGGTATAGAGGAAGTGTTTGCTGCAGTGGGTGACTCAATGTCACTCTCCTGTGGCAACACTTCCTCTCTTGTGGGTGGAAGCGTGGAGTGGGCTGTGGGTGGAAGAACACTGACAGATGATGTCTCACTTCATAAAGGCCAAACCGTTCATGTCAGTAAAGACTTGTCACTGGTCATTAGCAGTGTGAGTGCATTGCATGCTGGGGATTACCAGTGTTCAGAGTCCACTGATCAGCAAAAGGTGTTTAACGAAGTCAGGCTGCATACCCTCGATGGTAAGTGTCAAAACAGAGCATGAATAGTGCATGAACATTTACTTTTTGAGTCACTGCTATAGAAACATTCCTTCTCATGTTTGTCTTTATAGTTACTTCGAAGTACGAGCCAGGGGGAGATAATGCCACCTTGACTTGTATGCTCAACTGCTCTGAAGAATGTAAAAAAGACTTCAGTTTAACTTGGTCTGGAAGAAGCCAAAACAGCTGGGAGAGTGATTTAATGAGTAACGGTAACAGTCTCATTAACAGGCTATTTCTCCCAGATTTGTCAGCAACATCAGATAACTTAGCCTGCCTGGTGCTTAGAGAGGGTGATGTGATGGCGTCAAAGAAGTGGCGTACTGCTGACCGTAAGTATGCATCATGCTATTTTTGCTTTTTCTCTTCAATAAAATCCAGCCATAAGACAAAATGCTCCCTTGTTTTCGAGTAAAAGTTAGGATAATAATAATGTCTACAGCTCTGCGAACACCTGTGTGGTTAGCCCTTCCTCTGGGCCTCCTGATATGTGTAGCTGCAGGAGGACTCTATATGTACATGAAGAGAAAGCAGATCAATCATGCAGGTAAGGAACCACACAGTAAAACTACTGTACAAGAGCCTTGATGAAAATGAAATAATACCTGACTACTTTTCTGTTTGCAGGAAATGACCAGACAAGCATTGGAATGGTAAGAGGAAACGTTTACAAGACAAAAAATAATTGTGCTAAAATATCGAGGTATTATTGATGTTTGAGGTTTTTGTCAGTCTTATACCTTCTAATGTAATCACTCTAGCACTCCTCTTTACAGACTCATGTTTATGAGGTCATTCTGGATGCAGCTAATGAGGAACCGCACCAGCAGAGACAAGCCAAACGAGAAGCTACCACCACCACCACTGACAGTTTCTATGATTTATTACAGGCTGTTAACTAGAACTAAATAAAAGCGTTTTTTTCCTCTTAAGATTATAATCTTTCTAAATAATTTCAACCATCTATACACTAAAATATGTTTTCCCAAACTTTTAAAAGGGAATGTTTTGCAAGAGAAAAGTAGATCAATGTTTATAACTTTGTCATGAACATTCATCATCCTACAGATATTTATTCAAATATTTTATTGTAAGATTACATTTTAAACATCATTTAAAATGATACAGATGATTAGATACATCAACATAAAAGAGTCTTTTCAACAGTCTAAGAAAAAACTGTGTGTAGCATTTTCCATGCTGCTCAGTAGACACTTTACTACAGTGTACAGTTTAGTAGATGTTACATGTTTTTACATAATGTATAAATGTAAGCAGGCAATCTAGATTAGATAGTAAGGGCAATCCTCTTCTTTTTCTTGAGTAGACTCAATTTTCCTAATACTGGACTGCAATGAAGGAGAGAAAATTGTTATTTGGCTATTTTAATATGATGAGAATTAAAGTGTGATTTTATGATAGTAAATGTGATTTCATGATAGTAGTACAACTTACAAGTACACAAGCTATCATCCTGGAATTGTTGGTACAGACTGTTGACTCGTTGGTTTGCATTAGCTATGATAAAAAAGGTTAAAGGTGTTCAGGGTGAATCATAAACAAAGCAGAAGAGGTTACAGTAGCTGGACTAAAGAAGGTAGTGAGAGAAAAACACGACACTCACCCTGTGACGTTGTAAGATTCACAACTTCATAACCGTCGAAAGACTCTATATGAGTACCTGATTAACAACAAGAGAACATGAAACTGTGAGAACACATCACTGCACTGCATTTGTGTCATTATTAAAAAATATTGTCTGGACAGATCAAACCTGCTGGCTGCCTCTGGATTTGCAGTGTATTTATCAGGGTGTTACGTCTGTAGCAAATGAGCAGTCCTATCAGGGCAGCAATTATGACAACCGCAATGATGACTGAAACCACCACTAGAATTAATGCTACACTGCTCTCCTTCTCCCGGGTTGTCGAAAGAATCCCAATGGTTGTCAGTGCTGAGGGAGACAGAAAGCAAATCCAAGCAATTACAACACCAAATTTAACAGGAAATTACTGATTGCAATTGAATCAAGATGTAAAATACTAAAAAATACATACCTGGAACTGACATACCTGGAACTGACATACTTGGTACCGTTGTGGCCACAACAGCATTTTCCTCTTCATAAAGGAAATAGAAAAGGCAAATAGGAGTTATTTATAGTGTCATTTGTTGTCAGTGACAATATCAAATAGTTTAAAATCTTACCTTGGACCAGTACATTAATGTCAAAGCAGCGCTGACTTTTTTCAAGCATGTATTTACATCTGTACCAACCACTGTCCCCGTAATCCACAGACTGCATAGTTAATGACGTCCCATTCATTTGAACCCTTTTAGAGTTAACAGATACAGGGCTGCCTCCTTTTAGCATAACCCAGGAGATATTTGGGGATTTTATGTCTACTGGGCAAGTCAAGTTAATGGGTGTGCTGGGTGCCGCCTTCACTGCTTGAAGGACTTTGCATTCTGAAAGAGAGGAGATTTGTGCAATACATTATTCATTTGTAAAAGAGTGAGAATAAAGAGAATTAAATGTTTGATCTTACCTTTTACTTTCAAAGATATGTTTTTGAAATGAATACAGTCCCAGCCTTGCCAGATTTCACAGCTGTACAGTCCCTCATCAGATTGTTGTAGTTTTGTCAGAAAGAGGGACATTTGTCCTTTTTCATCACGTTGCCATTTTACATGTTCAGCATCTGGAAACTTGGGTGTTTTAGGCCTGGCAAGGATAACCTTCACTTGACTGGAATCTGTGGCAAACTTTATCAATTTCACTCTGTTGCAGCTCTCTGGCTTCATCACGCTAGAATTAAAACAAGGGAGGGCTACATCTTCTTCTTGAGGAGCAGACAGAGTCTCAATCGCTGGTGAACTGTCTTTATAAGGATAAATTAATAATGAAATAAGGATTAGAATCAGTTAGAATCAGAAAAAGACCCAGAGTACATATTTTATATAAAGTTTATAGTGTAAAGCACTGTCTGAACTTTAAGACAGATAATTCAAGATTTTACAAAGGTGTTCAAAATATATTATTAAATAGGTTGGGTACATATGACACCTTTTAAGTTTACTCACAGTCTATAAAAAAGAAAATGCATTTATAATATTCATTGGTTGAATGTGGTGAAGAAGTTATTCCGTGACCTACTCACCTCTGCACTCTGATATGACCATGAACAGAACTAACAAAAAGCAACCCAACAAATAAAAATTTGCCATTTTCTTTGTAATGTAGCCGAGTGGACGGACAAAAGATTATTGACTTCAAGACCTGTTTATTGTCTCCACCTATTCTCAGTTCTGTAAGTTGCACAGGAGTCTCAATATGAAACTGTAGCAGGTTTTTTTTTTGTTTTTTTTCGTTTCTCTGATTGTGGGGCCAATAGAGCCACCGTGTGGCAAAAACAAAACACTGCACTGGAATGAATGCACAAACATATTATGTTGTCAAAGGGTGAAATACGTTTGTGTTAATAAAGACAGTATGCAGAAGATTACAAACTGGATCTTTGAATTTATTTTCTATATGATATGACAGAAAGATCTGGATACATCATTGTATCTTTTTGGAAAGAGGTACTTTCGTCCACTGTTACATCAAACTGACAAATGGCCATAAGGGCAGACATTTAAATGTGAGAGGGGAAAGTGAAAAAGTAAGTGCGTGTGGTTGGAGTTTTCCCAAAAAAGAGAACCTCACTCGTTTCCTGAATAATAAGTTTAACATAAGCAGATTATTTTTGCTAAGTATAATATGTACTTCTCTCTGTTTTCAAAGACACAGTTCTTCCTGCTGCATTACTCTTCCTTCCTTAAATAAAATTTTATTTTATTTTTGAAACCAGTGGTGATGCATCATGTTTCAGAGTCCATCACGGCCCTTCCGCCGTTGCGATCCTGTATACAAACTTCTATCATTTAGCAACACAACAGTGCTTTTACCCCACTACGTCTGGTGAAATTCAACCTGTGTGAATGATTTGCACCCCTCAGCTGACCTCTGTTTGCTGCTGCCTTAAATATGACAGGGGAACTTCACTAATGCTAACTGAAACTTTGTCACTTCAACTTCCTCATGTGGCTTGATTTACAGATACAACAACACCATAGCTTTTCACACTTAGTGTTGGTTTCACTGGCTCTCAACGTTGTGCACAGAAATGGACAGAGCTCAAGGTTAGTTTGCCTTCGTTCTGCTATATCGATAAAATAGTGTACTTTGTATTTATTTAACGAATGATTTGTAAGATTCCTGTTTGTTGTTTGTTTGTTTCTCACAGGAGGTAAAGCATATGGTCTTCTTAAGTCTCAACAGGAGGAAAAACTCAACTCTATCAATGAGGTGAGTTGATGTCTTTAGGAAAAGTCAGTTACAATAGAGAGAAATGGTTTTTGGAATATTTTTTTTCTACACACAGGGGCTAGACACACAAGAATTTGACCTCTGTGTGATATCAGTAATAATGTTTTCATCTATTGGTATCATTTTATTATCACTCGCCCAGGCTTTTCTCGAGGATCCCCAGTATGCAGAAGAGGAAGACCTTAGCTCAAAGCTTGAACTGTTTAAAAGTGAGTATTTGTGTTGTTTTATGAATTGTTATCATTCAGTGCACGGTCATACATGGGAATGAGATTATATTTGCTTGTATTACAGAGAAATACATGGAGTTTGACCTTAACGACAAAGGAGATATAGGTAAAATTGCACTTATCTGAAAAAGCCTCAAAGTATTTATAGTTACAGTTGTCATCTGTTGCTTTCCGTTGTGACTCACAACACAGCTATATTTACAGACCATATATATATATATATATACACACACACAGTATATATACAGCATATATATAGTATATAAGCACTTACTTATTTTATTTCTTTGGACTATCAATGTTATAGATATAATGGGGTTAAAACGAATGCTGGAAAAACTCGGAATGGCCAAGACTCACTTAGAGCTGAAAAAGATGATGCAAGAGGTGGTTGGAGGGACATCGAAAGACACCTTCAGCTACCACGACTTCCTGAAAATGATGCTGGGCAAGAAAAATGCAATTTTAAAACTGTGAGTAAATATCAGTGAATTCAGAGAATGGGTGGAGAGTTTGGTAACAGGAAGAGTAGGGCTAAGGGGAGAAAGTGCCCAAATTATTAAAGAATAAATAGATGCTGGACTCATGAATTTGTACAAAAGTACAAGGCCTTAAGCTTAAATCTAGCTGATTTCGCTGATACTAGTTTTGGTATCAAAAATACATTTGTCTTGATAACAATCTATAAATGCTAAAGATGTCCGGTGTTTTTTGAAATAATAATAATAATAATAATAATAATAATAATAATAATGTCTCGTATAACAGCTGACAAGTAATTTTCTTCATTTAAGGATCTTGATGTTTGAAGGCATGGGAAAGGAGCAGGAACCCCAAGATGTGGCACCACCTCGTCGCAAAACCTTTTCAGACCTGCCCTGAAGGAGTTCTCCATCACATCAGGGAATGACTGCTTTTAGACTTATTCCTTTTTTACAGATTGAAACATCACCTAAATTCTTCAAAAGTTCATGAGAATTAGGAAAACATATTCATATAATATATATATTCATATAATATATAAAAATAGATAAAATAGATTATATAATCTACCATAATGTTTGTGCATTCTGATTTAAGTGATTATGACCACAGTACTGATCTCCCACATTATAGGCAACTAGCTACTTTATAAATGAATCTACTTACCCATGGCTATAGCTGTTGCTTTAGCTGCATAGTTAAATAAAAAGTGTACAGAATGTACATGGGAGTGGTCATTGCCCTATTGCTATAAAACATACAGGAATATCACAATGTTTTATGTTTGAACATATTTAAACCCAAAGTAATGTATGTTATCATAGTGTTGTTGTTGGAAATCGATTAAAAGGTGAATGGGAAAAAAAACGTACTCTGTTCCTACTTTTTTGGTTTTGGTTTACATCAAACAGAAGTTGGCGCTTTCCATTTGTCTCGGAAACCGAGAATTTTATTTCACTACCTGTGAGAACATGCGTCATGAGGAACTTTATTTTGAAAACTGTCGGTGACCGGAAGAGGTCGTTGTCAACTAGAGACGAGAGCGAGGATAAACTAGCTAAGCTTGCAAGTTGATGTGTTAACAAACAGAGGAAAGGGTGAGTAAACGGGACCTTCTGTAAACAGTTCTTTGCATATGGGGAACAGTTCCCCTGAATGCATATTGCAGTTACAATAATTAATTCCCACTCTGTCTGTAGTGTTAATGCTAACAAACGCTAACTGTTAGCCAGCGAGCTAGCGTGTGGTCAGGAGCTAACATAGGTAGAAAACCAAAGGTAACGTACATTAAAGATTATGTACAATATAATCACAGTTGTTGTCCAAAGTTCCTGATATAACAGCTTCGATTTGTTGGATTTATGTTGGATTAAAATGTTAAATGTATGTTTGTAAAGTTTGCATCCCCAGAATTTAAATGCCGGTTTTTAGCTGTGTGTTTCTAGCTAGCCAACCAGTGAGGATGTAAAATGAATCCCGGTTTACCTCCACTCTGTTTGGGTTTGACAGGAGGATGAGCAGCTCAGAGGAGGTGTCCTGGATATCTTGGTTTTGTGGACTGAGAGGGAATGAGTTCTTCTGTGAGGTTTGTACCCCGGGTCATTGTTGAACTGGGATTTTTAGCTTGGAGCCACGATTTAAAATGTCCCACTAATTTACTTCTTCTGGCAGGACATACTGATGGAAAAGAGTCTTCAGTTCTCCAGAAAAAACAATGCTGCCTAATATTTTCCTGTATACTGATGGGCTTTCAGTGGTTTTTATCTGTATGTGTTATGTCCTTGTTCGGCAGAAGCAATGTTTTATTTCATCTGTATTTTTTAATGGTTGAAATGAAATGTGAATGTACTGATATCTCCCATTTGTATTGCCCTGAACACATAGATAGAGATGGCCACACAAGCTAGTATAATAATTGGTACTAATATCTTCCACTTGAAGCACATGAGGCTTTCTCACTCAAAAAGCACCTTAGGGAGACATGTGAGAGGAAAAACACTTAAAATAAATAAAAAAATACTTGACAAATGTAGGCATTAGAGTGTAACACGCTGGTTGTCTGATAGGTGAGCCCTCACACAGTCCAATTCTAATTTTAACTCCTTGCTTTCTTCATGGGCAGCGTCTTAGTAATCCTGTTAAGCTCTTATGTAATGCTTCCACATCAGTGTGCTGTAGCAATGCGCTGTAACCTTAATGAACGCCGTCGGTAGCTATTCAACCTCTTCAATTGTGTGTCACAGGTCGATGAAGACTACATACAGGACAAGTTTAACCTGACGGGTTTGAATGAGCAGGTGCCTCACTATCGCCAAGCTTTGGACATGATTCTTGACCTGGAGCCAGGTGAGAATATCCAGGAGGTAGCAGTTCCCGTGTGAAATGAAATTAAGACGAGTCAGCGCTTTAACTGTCTAAATCACTTTCATTTGACAGATGAGGAGCTTGAAGATAACCCCAATCAGAGTGACTTAATAGAGCAGGCAGCAGAGATGCTCTACGGGCTTATACATGCACGTTACATCCTCACAAACAGAGGCATTGCACAGATGGTAAGGCTTTTTACTTAATAACTTCAATATCTTACACGCTCTGTGACGAGAATTAACAGTGGTTTCTAAATGTGTTGTTCTCCGTAGTTGGAAAAGTATCAACAAGGGGATTTTGGCTATTGCCCCAGAGTCTATTGTGAGAATCAGCCAATGCTTCCTATTGGTAAGTCTGGCCTGACCTCACATCAAACACATTGTGCCCTTGCTGCACCTTTTGACCTTTTGTCCGTGGCTATGAAGACACACTTAACTGTCCCGTTTCTCGTAGGTTTGTCAGACATACCTGGAGAAGCAATGGTGAAGCTTTATTGCCCAAAGTGCATGGACGTTTACACCCCCAAATCCTCCAGACACCACCACACAGATGGAGCCTACTTTGGGACGGGGTTCCCCCACATGCTGTTCATGGTGCACCCAGAGTATCGTCCAAAGCGACCAGCCAACCAGTTTGTGCCAAGGTGGGTTTGATCTGATCCGGGTATTATTTATTGCTAGCGTTAACTTTAACCAGCCAAAACATGCCTTTATTGGTGTGTTTTGAGTGACTGGTCACCAAAAGACTAACTAGTTTTAGACCGTATTGGATGTCTGAGGCTGAGTGTCATGTTGCCACTAGTATCAGATAATTTAACACTAATAACACTCAGCCCTTGACTTTGAGGATAAGAAAGAGAATTATTTCTGTCCAGGAAGTGATTGTATTGTGATTATTATTATTGTTTTCCTTTCAGGCTGTATGGTTTCAAAATTCACCCGATGGCTTATCAACTTCAACTTCAGGCTGCATCAAGTTTCAAGAGCCCGGTCAAGACAATTCGCTAGAACTCCACTTCGACAAACACAGTGGACTCAAAGACTGTGCTGTTTACTACTTGTTTGAAGCAACGGATCAAATAATCCTAGTGAATGCCTGTACAGTTCCCCAAACTCACCTCTGTGTTGATACACTTTCAGATTCAGACAGTCTCATATTTAGTGACACACAGTTGAGCAGGTTAGTTTTCTTTATCAAACATGTAATTATTCCCCAAATCATCAATCTCCTGATACAATGTTTAACTTAAATTGATGTCAATGCATCTTTTCACATTTTTTACCAAACAGAAAAGTGGCGTTAACTTTAATGAAGGCTACAGTGTATTTTGTGGCTCAATTGCAGGTGAATGAATGTAACAGGAAATGTTGCCACCAGCCCCTGACAAGTTTGCCTTATCCATGATAGTCAGTCAAAACTTTAAGGTTAACATTAAATTGCATCAGATCATATTAACTTGTGCTGCATTTTGGAACGTGCATACGGTTTTATTCTGTAAAGAGTAAGGATTTTATTTTGAAACTGCAATATGTGTAAGTGGTACGGTGCTATTTTCAAGAAACCATGAATACCAAATTAGAGGTAAAGAACATGTTAAAAATGGACCTATGCTTGATTTAAATTTTATTACTATGTTCGGTTGCCTTGAAATTATTCAGTATGTATGTATTTTGATTGTTTAGGCAACTGTAACAATATGTTCCTGATAATCCTGTAGTTTCATCATGTTTAAGTTACGGTATTACAATCTAGACAGACATGACATTCTCAAGCGTTTGGTGTTCATTGAACATGCAGCTGCAACATCTACTGTGGAACAAGTGAGTGGCATTAAATATTTATTTCTTACCCAGATCTCATATGCTTCACACACAGACAGCCCAACAAAATGCAAAATAATGCAGGTTTTATTTTTTCATAAAAAGACAGGGATAAGTCACAAAGCAACAATATTTTCCATTGTCTAAAAACTAATTTCTTCATGTGAAATTCTACGTTTTCTTCCAGGAGAGGTTTCTGTTGTTTTCCATGTAGCTACAATACCAATGGCTTCTTTTTGGGTTAAAAAAAGCTTGCTAACAAACATGCTATCTAAAAGGGATTCGTATATTTTTAAGCAATTTCTCTTCTATGAAAAATTACAGAGAGCAATCTACGTAGACTATGTGGTAAAAAGGCTTTACAAACTTGGTTGATAACGAATGCAATATTTAACATTGTGACATCTCTAGTGGAAGCCTGGAAACCAGCTTGTGTTGAAACATCACAGTACATCAAATCACACGAAACAGTTCCTACTTTACAAATAAATTACTGTATAGTAGAACATGTAAAAAAAGACAACTTGTGCTCCTATGAGAGAAAAGCCACATATACTGGGACAGCTGCCTTCACCTCTTAAAACGTGTGGTTACTGTGACAGACAAACTTTGTATTTACTGACCTCACTTGGCTGAACATAAATGTACATTTAAAGTAAGTCTTCTTAAAGTAGGGATGGATATACATATATGGACATTACTCATACAATCATATGGAGGTCTGTAGTCTTACAAAGAATATCAAAACCTGAGATAAACAGACCAAAGCTTGTAAAACTTCTCTTATCAACCAAATATATTCAAAGCAATTATGACCTTCTATGCTACTGAACAAAAACATAGGGCTGAGGGAAGCACTCCATTCTCATATGTAAGTTGTGAAAGGTTTGATAAACTTGGTGGACTACAAGAGGAAACGAATAAGAATGATTCAGGGTGTCAGGCAAGACAGGTAAGCAGGTCTTAAATAGAGACCTCATAACTCCGTAAACAGCACAATGGCAACCTACAATTTCATGAGCAGATGGATATGAATAACTTAAAAACCCCGAATTTGTACAAATACTATAAAAGCAATTCTATAAAATAGAGAAATATTTAAAAATAGATCAATTTTTAATTCAAACTTTACAATTATGTGTAGGCTACTGGTTCTTAGCTGGTTAGGGAAGAAAAGATTTGATGTTTTTTTATGTTTTTGTACCTGAGCAGTGAACAAAGCCACACAACTGTCCAAATTTGAGCACGTAATATCACATATCTATGCGAGGTATGTCATTTCATGTAATTTTATAAAATAAAGTTGCTCCTGAATTAAATAGACAAGTAAACAACAACAAAAACAGTTCCCTTGAATGTAGTCTTAACGTTCCCCTAGCAGCACCTAAGGAATAAATGCTGATAATGGTGTCTAAACTAGGATGGAAACAGTGCATTTGTAGAAAATCAACAATGTAAAAACCACTAGGAGAAAAAAAAGCATTTAAAAGCAAACATAACTGAGATCACGCAACTGAAACTGCTGTTTTTTTAAACCAATAAAATTGTATTCACTAAGTTTTTTTAAACACCCGGGTTGAGATACTGTAAGCATCTGTTCAAACGTGAGCACTGTGCAGCCCTCCTCTACCTACAATGAACAGCTCAACTGAAAAAAAAAAAGGAAAGAAAACAAAGAGGATCTCCTACGATTCATCTAACTGAGTTATCCATAATTTTAGGTGCAGATTTATGAGATATATCTTTCTGGATATGTGTGCGCAGATAGAGCTGGTCACTGAGTGCTGCACTCTGATGAAGGGATGAAAGCTGGAGAGTCAAAGGAATAAATGCAGGTGATGATTCAGTTACAATGCTGATGCTCCGCCATCTTTCCCCTGCAAGGCAGACATTATTTGCACTCGTATTAGTTTTGATGTAAATGAATGAAGTCAGAATTCTCTTATTCCTTCCTTAAAGGAATAGTTCTGGGAAATTCCTTTATTTGCTTTCTTGCTGAGAGTTAGATGAGAAGATTGATGTTTCTCTCATGCCTATGAAGCCTTTAACTATAAAATATTATTAGTTATTAGTAGTGTTTTTTTCTTTTTGGATCTTGCTCGTTGTTAACTTTATATTTTAACTGGATAAAGGATTTTAGTCATCAGACGTCTGGATCTTAAGCAATCAGAGAAACAAGCTGAGCTAAGGTCGGGTGGCAGGCCCTCCAGGACGTCCTTTGTCAGTTGAAAAGCATAGAAGAAACACTGATTTTTAAGGGCAAACTGCGTTATTCAGTGTTTGTTTTAATCACAGGGTCCATTTTGGAGAGGAGGAGCCCTCTGCGGATAATTCGTCTTGCGGTCAAAACCTCCAGAACACCATAGGGATCCTAACCTGGAGAAGCGGACTGCTTCACATTTACTGTACAGATATGAGACTGCTATCAATATTGTTGTCTAACTCTCAGCAAGAAAAAAACACAAGGTTAATTCCCAAAATGTCAAACTATTCCTGTAATATTCTGTCTATGACTGCTTTGTGTCATAAGCAGAGGGGTGTGTACCTTATCTTGGTCAATGTCAGAGTCTGCAGTTATGACGATTCTCTTCTCCACGCGAGTCTCTGTAGATCCACTTTTCACTACCTGGTACAGAGAGAAAAAGATTGAATTGCGAGGCAAATTAAAATATAATGCAATAAACAAAGAGCAAGACTGTGCTGCTGACCTTTGAGATGTGAGTGGTAGTGACTGTGGTGCCACTGGTTTTCTCCGAGGTAACGGTTTTGGAGCTGGACACTGTTGTGCTATCTTTGCTGTCTGTCCCATCGTCTGTCTCCTGAGGAAAAAAAAGAGACCAAAAATAGGTAAGAGAGTAATATTTTAGATAATGTGACTTTGAGCTTCAGCCAGGGAAGGAGCAGTGCTGCCTTGTGCTCATGATGGAGCCCCTGGCCTGATCCACCCAGACCTGCTTGTTTTACGGTGCTGATGATATGTCCCCCTCCATGCAAACCATTGCCTGTACCTGAGACAGATCTGGGCTGAGCAGGTGCAGGAGCCCCTACCTTTGAAGACTCATAGATGAAGGACTTGGTCGGGACGACGGGGACCTCTGTGGTGGAGATGCCACTGGGTAGGGAGTTGGAAACAGCTGTGATGGTGACTGTCTGGGTCTGCACCAGAGGGGGCTGTGGATGGGAGCATAGCCCCATCAGTGGCTGTTTAACCAGACACTTTCACCTCACAGCAACCAATTTGTTTCACACCATGCACCCTTAAAGCCATTTTCTGTGTGGATTTGATTTTTGCACCCTTCTTCCTACCAACTTCATTTCAATTTGGATTTTTGGAAACAACAGAGTCACCTTGTTACTTCCCTTCCCCTCCCACCACCAACTTCCACAAAAGAAAAGAGAAACTGAAATATCAAGCCATGAGTAGGTTGGAAAGATCATGAAAGAAATGTAAATATGTAAAACACTGTTTTGTGGCAGAGAAGAATGTGCTAATGTTACAGTAACCCATCACCATAGTTGAGAATGTAGCACATCACTGTGCAACACCTCTGCAGCAACCACATGTAAGTATGAGTATAATTCACAACTCATAATGCAGATTCACAAGGTTTTGGTTAGCAATGGTGCTGCAAAGGAGTGAGCAAGTGTGGCAGCCTTGAAATCATAAAGAGGCCAAGTAGAGACAGAATCAGCATCACCCTGAGGGAGGCGGGGGGTCAGGAGGCTACCTGGAAGCAGCGTATGACCTGTGGACCATCGCTCCTGAAATAAGAAGCTGTGGAAGATCCAACTATCCTCTCAGAGCACTCCGACATGTTGGGATACGATCCTTCTTCCTCCAGGCTCTCAGCTATAGCTCTACAGCAGGGGTCGAGGGAGGGCGGCAGCTGCACCATCTCCACCTCTACGATGGGCACCAAGGAGGTGTCAAAAACTACAACCTCATCCTGATCACATGACGCTTCCTCAACTGGAGCACCATGGGCTTCGATACTACCAGGCTCACTCTTGTGGCTCACAGTGGGACTTGGAATGCCTGAAAGGCCCAAATTGCTGCCGGCTTCCACGTGTGCAGACTTTGTCTCTGAACCATTGCAAAGGGGACTAATGCACACACTCTAAAAAAGACACAACATAGTCACTACATGATCATGGGTAGGTGTAGTATTTCCTACTGACATAGTATGTATAGGAAGTCATAGTTATATAGATTATAATGCATGCATGTTACAACATATAGTACAGTATCCATTTTATGAGGTACTACAGCTCAGTTGGATGATTTTTTGGGGCTTATATTACACTTAAAAAATAAAACACAGCTTAACAAAACATTATTGAAGAACATGTATATCCCTTTGTGGCCACAATTTACCCTTTTCCTAACTGATTTCCATGTGGCACATGCTGCAGGAGGTTACCAAATAAGATGGATACTGAATACAAGTATCGCTCCATATTGTGTATTTCATCCATGAATAGAATTCAGTATGTGTCAGAATGAAATGGGTTTTCTTTCTATAAGAAAGTGATAGGCCACTCACACTACTTTTGATTGACAAGTCATCAACTAAAAAAAAAAGGAATAAATGAAACTTAAACAATAACATCCAGGGTCCTTGAAAAGAACAAACAAATTGTATGAACTGTATATGGAATGCCTTTTATTCTTTGGTCAAAACTGATTGTCAAAAAGTCATGCAACAAGGAATCTCTTGCAGTTGCTACATACTGCCTCATCAAAGACTGGTGAAGGACAAAAAAGATAATAAGAATTACATTTAAGCTGCCTCAGGGTCTTCCATCACAGGAGATACTACAATTGTGACAAAGTATATTGATAGATTTCACGCCGTTTTTCTAGTGCTTACTTAGAGTGAGTTCAGGAAGAAAGTTTATATATCCAAAAATCACATCACAGTGATCAAGCTTGTCTGAAGACAAGATCCTTTGACAACTGACAATAAAAATGTACCTCAAAACGTGTATAAAAGCAGGCTCAAAGTGAGATAAAAGTCAGTTGTTTGATAATACTGATTGATTGGTTGATTTAAAGTCCAAAAGATGTCACAGAAACTGCAAAAGAGTAGTGTGTTGATTGTCATCTCCAGTCCTAAATCAGTATTTAGAGAACAGGTCTGTTTCTGGCTGGAGAAACCAGGTCAACTGTGCTGCAGTGGGAAACAGAAGGAACCAAAGTCTTGCTCCACAGAGGCCAAAAACAAAAAGGGGGCAGCTTCTCAAGTGGAGCAGAGGATGAGAGATGAAGAATGCTACAGTGATGCTGAAGAGGAGGCGAAGGAAGGACAGGAGGAGAAGAGAAAGCTAGAAGGTTGATGGGTACAGTAGATGGACTAGGTGCGGTCTCCACGGGTCACACTCACACCTGTGTGGGATTTTCCGCAGGGTCGAGACAGCCCCTCAGCTGCGCTTGGAGTAGAAGTCTAGCAGGGGGCCGCGTGGGAGGCGGATGACAAACTGAGGTGGGGGAGGAGGAGGAGGGAAAGAGAGATGAGAGGGAGGAATTTTGAAATGTTTGCAATGACCGAAAAACGAACTGAACTTTTAAAAGCCAGAGCTGCGCAATAACAGATGACTGAAAATATCAAATTCAGATGTAATAGCACGGCAAACGCCTACATTTGAACAGAAACGTGATTTTGTTGTCAAGAGAATGGAAATGTTACTGGCACATGCATTTTAACATGCATCTTTCCATCCATTCCATGTGCAACAATTCCATTTTTTTATTTATCTTTTTGGAAAAGACAGAAAATCATCCACACTTGTAGTGCCTCATTTTTAAAGAGATGAATTGTATACGTTTTTGGGGTGGAACTATCTCAGTAAGATAAGATCAACTGAATCAGTACAGCCAGAAGGATCTTGGGCCTTTAGCTTGAGGATGTTAAACTGGTGCAGATGCCCTGTTAATTACCCAGTGCTGGCTGGGCAGCAACAAAACTTAGAACTAATCTGAAGTAACATTAAGCTGTAGTCGTGGTTCATAATATCAGTAGCTTAGAGCCTATATCTGGCATCTGGACAACCAACATCTTATTTTTAATGAGCACTAGGAGGGCCAATTCTGCTGCTACATGTCAAACTTGCTGTACTCTATACTTTCTCACAGCTGAGGCCTTATTCTTTAATCATTACACAACTGAGGTTTAAGTAGAATGACAAACTGCCTTGTAAAATCGAGCATAAATAGTGTCCACTCCACTAGGCAGACAACACTTGACCACTGTCTTACTGTTGACTGCTTACATCAAACATTTTGTACATTTGCTCTGATTCATCTCCTCACTCCCGACTGTGAGCTGTCAGTTTAGCCTTGCTCTGGTTTCACTGCAACGCTAATGCATCCTGACACTATGATGTAGTTGGAGGCATTTATCTTCAAGTGTAAAAATGCTTTGTGTCTAAACAGTTATGCTGCAGCCATATGAGTTAATGTCTCACCAGAAGGCATGCAAAATGACCCTCAGTAGATTACATTTGTTTATTCACGTAACAGGAGCTCAACTAGACTGGGGTTGTTTGTCCACAGAATAGCTTTCAGTCATCTTTTTAACAGCAACTGGTAATTAATAGCAGTAATGATACACATAGTTTTAAACTGGAATCCTGTGCTAGTTACATTATTTCCTACAAGGAGAGTGGGGCTGCTGATACAACTGTGAATGAGGTCTTGTCTCTTCATGGATAAACAACCGAGGCTTGGAAAAGGTAAAAACAAAGTGTGCAAAGCAAAACGTATTAAAAGCAGAAAGAAAGCTCTTTAATGAAGGAGGGACAGAGGAGATGGGGAAAAGGGGAAATTCATGAAAGGGTCATCTCTGAGTCATGCAGGAAACTTTGAACGTCAAGTCTGTCAGTCATGCAATACAAACATGTCAGGGTTCAGAACAACCAATGCAGATAAGATGAACCGAAGTGAGTTTTCAGAGAGTGGACAACCTGTCCCAGAGATGCATCGCCCACATTGGTCTTTCAAGAGAAAGAACAAAAAAGTACAGACCTTCTTCAACAAGTCCGACTGCATTCTTCATACACATGCATGTGTTGCATAGCACATGCCACTGCCTTGAATAGGTCTGTACATGCACACACAATCCATTAAGCCATAAGAGAGCCAGGAATGATGACTGGAAGAGCCTGATCCCCTCTTTTATTAATTTCTTTCATTTGAATATATTCATCATGAAAAAAAAAACGAAATCTGATCGAATGCAGCAAATGTTCAAAATGACACAAACATTTAAAGAATCAAGTCAAAGACAAGAATTTCAGGTTCTTCTGTTCCATCACAAACCCATGCACACTACTCACACCAGTGCAGTGAGGTTTTTTTCAGTCAAGTACAATAATCTCTGAAAATGCAGAGCCATGGAAAACAATTGTGATGACATACCGTATGTAAAAATACAACTTTAACCAAGTCAATTCAGGAATTGTTCATTCAATTTGAATTAGTTGTTTTTTTTCTCCAATTCCTGAACTGACAGTACGTTAAATAAGCGGATTTGGCAACGAGCGGTTTCTGTGGGAGACTTACCCCATCTGCACTGGGCAGAGGCTGACCATTGATACCCAGGGTGCGGAACGGAGAGTGCGTGGACAGGCGCTTATCCCATTCACTGGGCTTCTGCTCCGGGACGGATTCCATGAAGTTCCTCTTCAGCTCACTGATGCTGGCATGATGCTTGAGCAGGTCCTCCTGAGGCTTATCGAACTCCTATACGGAGCAAAGTCGGAGGGGAAAAGACAGTGTGTAGGGGGGAAGGGGAGGAAGGCACCAGGACATTTGATAGAGGCAAGTGGATCAAGGAAACAATGAGGGGAGGAAGTGAAGATGTGGAGGGGAAGGGAAGATGAAGGATATGTTCGTAGTTGGGAGAGATAAACAAACAGGAAAAATAGTTAGAGTATGTTTCTTTTTGCTGTTTTTCTGTCTAGTTTGTGTTGACTTATTGCAGATTAAATAAACAAGCAGAAGCAGGGTTAATTGGTGATTCCAAAGGAACATAAATTAGAGGGGGCCATTAATCTAGATGATCATGTTGATTCTTCTTAAGATTATCAGCGACTCCTTTTCAAAATGAAAAGCGGATTCATGAGAACAGACTTTGGTTTATTAAGGAAAGATTCAGAGGAGTCAGTGCCATGATTCATCAAAGTAAATTACTATTTGATGTTTGTGGGGTAAAAGCTATAAACTATACTTGATAGCATTAGGCGTCTGTTTCATAGCATTAGGCTTGCAATGACACACGCCGTGGCTGCACATCAAAGAGCAGGAAAGGTGATGACAGCAGACATGGTAACAAGTTGTCAAAGATGAAGCCTCAGTAAAAAATGGAAACCTGTTCATTTAACACAAATGAACAGAAGCAATAGTAGCAGCACTGATTTGGCAACATTTAGCACCAAGTTGATCTTTATTGAGAACTACTGACACCCATTTGACTAAAAATACAATGACCTAGTCAATGAACAGAAATGTTTGAGTCTTAATCGTGACTTATTGAGGTGCTAAAGAGCAACTTAATGATAAGTGTTTCTCCAAACATCATTCCTTTCATGTACAAAAGCAAAGATGTATAATTATTATGGTCAAAAGAATCCGTTTGCGTAACTGCTGAGAAAGTGCAGTGCATTACTGGCAAGTTAGAAAATGAGATGGAGGTAGAAAGAGCAGAAGCAGGAACAGGAGAATACTGATGATCTGGAAAAAAATATATATCATAAAAATGGAGCTGCTTGTGAATCCTAGCTTCAAGAATGTTTAGAAAAGACCCTGATTAGCTTAAATGTTAGCTCATCAGCCACATCACAGGGCTGATCATCAGGGACGGTTTAAAAATCCAAAAAGGTTTGTGCATATCAATGCAAGTGTAAGAATCCTGACCATACTTATGTGTTGTTCAACAGCACTCTCCTGTAACAACCGGATTAGAGTTACATTGCCACACACACACAAACGCACACACTTATCATATAATCTACAGCCAATCATTTGTGCTGATGCAAAAAGTGTGAATCATGCCACATGCAAGCGTGATATTAAACGGCGGCCGCTGTGCCAAAGAGCAAGAAAATACAGATAGAGACCGACATCTCCAGAAGGGATACAAACCTCCAACATTAAAAGGCTATGTCTGATATAAATTGAGTCACCCTCAATTTTCTTAGCTCTTTTCTGTGAAAAATGAAGAGAACAAAAAAAAAAAAGAGTGTGGGTTTGTTTCAGTTTCCCTGGGCGCTGACATTAAAGTGCCACACCTTGGACATGCATACTATGAAATTCACTACAGTGTTAATACAACAGACACAGAGTTGTGAGGAGTCTGCATGCAAAGTAGTTCGGGGCCATAGGGGCCAAACTGCAATGTACTAACAAAGCAAAGAACTTAAGGCTCTAGAGGACTGACTTAAGAGTTCTATTTTTATAATGAGAAATAATACGGTGGAGTGACAGAAATGTGATACAACACCAGTTATCATGCCACTTTTTTTTTAGTAATGTGCATTAATCTACAATCATGCATGTGTGCATTCCAGGGTTTACAACAACAGCAAGCAATGAGAAGAAATGAATGCCTTGTAAACTTTAATATGTAAAAACATATTTTTTTCGAAGCAAGCATACTCTCTTCAGATTGAAGTAATATTATTCTATTAACTGTGTTAACATATTCCATCTATTCTTACATTTGTCTACGCCTTAAACATATGCTGTATGTGCATCGAACCTGATGTGGATTTCATTTAAGACCTAGCCGTATGGAAGCACAACATGAGAAGAGGGTGAGATTAGCCTTTTGGATGAGAAAGCTCAATATAAATCAGAATGGAGGTGGAGAAATGGCTACACAAACGTACACGAGGCTATGAATCTGACCTTTCGCATTCGCACCACCTCCGTGCTCATCGCCTCAGACTCGTGCTAACCCAGGGAGGAGAGAGGGACACATGTTAGCATCCTCTGCTTGTTGGCTTCAACACTCACATCTCAGCCATAGTGGAAACAAGTCTTCTGAGGGGCGACGTGGAAATGAAAGGCCAGTGTCTGACACTAACCTGAATGTCCCCATTGATGGTGGATATCAGTGAAGAGTGTACTTCTCTCTGGTCCCTCCACACTGCTGGCTACAGCAGCAAGAGAGACACAGTTCACACTCAGACACAGAGAACAATCTCTGCTCACTACTTGTAGCATTGTTTATTATTAATGACTATGAAGCAATTACATTGAAGAGTTCATTATATTTTATAGTTACCATTATCTACAATCAAAACACCCAGGCAATCATTCTAAGGACACGTTATAAATAATTAATTTTTCCACTGGCACCAGTTATCCTGGAAGGCATATATGGTTTACATACATATATGATGCTACATTTTTTCTGCACATGAACCCTTAGACTTTTACTGAAATTACATCAATTACATAAAACAGTAAATAGAGAAATTGATTACCTTGACCTCAGCCACAGCCTCGATTTTTGAGGGCTCCACAGTTTCTACTGTGACCTGCAGCCTTCTTTCCTCCTTGCGGCCAGTCTTGATTGGAGTGGAGGTCTGGGGCTGATCGAAAGGGGCCATGGGGATCCCTGCCTCTGCCAGAGCAGCCTGGGAGAAGACCGGAGCACTGACAGGCCGGGTGCCCCTCTGTGTGCTCACCACTACACAAAATACAGACAAAATGGAAGCGTGAATAAAGGGAAATATTTTTTGGATGATGTGTTATGGAGGGATGAGGTCGTATGCACATTGAATAAGATATCAACACATAAACAGAGTAACACACAATACAGCACCTATGCAAACAGCCACAACGTACTTACAGTCTCGAACCACAGGCCTTGATGGGATCAGATAAGCGCACACTCTGCAGGGTCATACTGTACCTTATATGCTTTCGTTCAGTCTTGTTTAAAAGAACAAGAAGCGAAGGTGGACCAGAAGCGAATATCCACAAAGTGGAATGAGAGCAAAAGCATGGATTAGTTCTTGTCATGATCCGATGACAGATGACGTTAGGCTGCAAGGAGGTATAAAGCTCAATGTGTTGAACTGGTGAAATGCTGAGATTAAAAAAGCGTTATCTCTTCAATATGCGAAACGTAGCGCATTCAGAGGTCCTTGAATAATGCTGGCTGTGCATCGTCATGTGGACACTTTCTCTTGTGAAGATGGTGCATCCTGTAAACAGGCTGGAAGTGTTAATAAGCGTTTCATGGCGCGAAGAAAGCGTGACCACGTGCGAGCTGTTCATCTGCAAAACAAACCCCAAACAGGTAAAAAAAAAAAAAAAAAAAAATACCTGACTCTTTGAGGCCAACATCTAGTAGAACAAACCAATCATCATTGACATGAGTATGTGCGAGCGGACGTCTTTCCTCTAGGATCCGTTTCCCAAACTGCGGTCTTGTCTCGGAAATGGAAATCCTTGTTTTGGCCACTGCAGGTGGCCCTCTCACCACTGCCGGGAACTGGATGCGCTCAGGGACAGCGACTATTACAAATACACAATCAGGTATAATTGGAGAAGTAAAGCATTTGCATTTACAGTGATACAGCACAGTAGGTGCACTTATAGAAATGTCTGTATATATAACTGGACACAATCTTTTTGATTATACCTGATTTCTTAGAGGCCACATCCAGGAGAATAAACCAATCATCCTCCACCTCTCTCACTGCTGGATGTGTTTTCTGCTGTACCACCTTCTCCTGCTGCCACGTCTCCTTCACTATAGTGATTCTCTGCTGTTCTCTATGTTCTATGGCTGCAAACTTTTTAGCTGGTCGGACTTCAGGACGCATGCGGATAGGTTCGTCCACAGCCACTAATGCAGGATACAAACAAAGCCTTTACAGTCGGAACACAATTCCATTCCAAATATACTTAACAAGGTGCAATATGTAACCAGCACGATGTTATTATGTCTGACTACATCTCGCTGTATCAGCCACACATGAAACGGCAGAATACCTGGTGCTTTTGCTGCAACATCCAGCAGCACAAACCAGTCATCATCCACCTGTCTCGGCTGTGGTGGTTTAATCTCCACCAACTTCACAGGTGGCCTCACATCTTCCATGATGAATTTTGGTTTTGGTTCGGTGGCTGCCACCACATGCACAATACGCTCAGCCACAGCAACTAGCAGAAAAATAAGGGTATGTAAATTTGATGAAAATGAAGGCTTATTAGCCACCGCTTAACTGATCTTTTTTCAGCCCAGTGTATGCAGACCATTTGGCAATGAAAGGTACCTGGTGGCACGACGACAGGCTTTTTACGGATGACGTCGAACAGGGTGAACCAATCATCTCCTCTTTCTCTTTCTGACGGTGGGGCGATTTGGCTAGGTCTAATTTCAGGCAGACGTGTCTCATCTTGCCTGCTGTCCACACCAATTATCGTCTGCTTCCATGTTGTAATCACTGTGGTTTTCACTTCAACCTCAAATGACTTCCTCATATCCGGAATAATCTTAACAGGAGTAACTGGCAAAACAGACAAAGAGGCTGAGCGACACAGTATATCCACCAAACAAATGTCTGACGCTAAAAGAAAGTTACAAGCTGCCGAAATTTAACAAATGGCAAATAAAGTAAGCGTTGATATGCGTTTCAAAGTGAATTCTGACGGGGTGCAAACATATTATATTACATATACCTGATGGTGGTATGACTGCCTCTTCACGAATAGCATCAAACAGCACAAACCAGTCATCATCTCTCTCTGGTAGTGGCTGGGAAGGCTGCAGTCTAATCTGGTCAAGATCAGCCTGCTGCAGCTTCCGCTCTATGCTTATCACTTCAATTTGTGGTTGAACACTTTCATACATTTGTCTCGGTAACGCCAGAGAAACTGAAAACAAACAGAATTTATACTTAAGCTTCAGCAAAACAGAAAAAGAGATAATATGAGTTGAATCTCAATAGTTAAATGGTTAGCTTGCTTGCCAATTTTTCTATGGTATGATAATAGGTGTAAAATAAAATAAGACATTTGAAGGCTGTTGTACTGGACCGACTGCAGTTCCGACCACAGAGAAACTTTCTGTATCCATCGGCTCTTCCCTTCAACGTCTGAGATGAGTAAAGTTATGAAAGTTTTTAACACAAGCAGTAGTCATGCACACTTGCTATACATAGCAAGCAGCAAAAATAAAGCATGAGAGAGCCGAAGTAGGTATTATAGAGCATTTAACAGTACCTGGTGGCACATAAGGTGTTTCTCTGGGAATAACATCCAGCAGCACAAACCAGTCATCATCTCTTTCTGTGATGGTCTGTGGTGGTGGGATCTCTGGTATATGCCAAACTTCCTCTTCTCTTGTTTGTCTCTCTTCTACTATAATCTCTGTTTTCTCCTCAACTGTTGTAATCTCAGTTGTTGAGCTGAAATACTCGCCTCCATCCACCTGAGCGCGTTCCACAGTGGTAACTAATGATGACAGTAAAGACACAATATTTTAAGCTGATGAAACTCTGTGGATGATACTTGTATATATGATTATTAATTTCCAGTCTGATGGCTGAAGGGAAACGCTTTAAATGCCCCAATTTTCCCGGATTCACCAGTCTGTGATATCCATATTTTTACACTTTTTGCACCATTAGGACATCTACATCAACATCAGATCTATACCCAGCACATATAGCCCTTTCACAAATGTTAAATTACATTTATAAAAGAAAGGAGAGAGCAATAAATATCTAGGAACCAGCCAGTTAACTTTTCCATTAACTTCACTTTCTGTTGAATCTAAAGGGATCTAACAGTGTACGGAAAGTATTAGAGAAAGAAATTGTAGCGACATTACAATATTTTAGGTATTAGAAGAGGTCTATATAGGAATATATAGTTATGTTATGTTTGCACAATGACATACTGTACCTGGTGGTTTGAAAATAGCTTTGTATGGAGGGCGGTCGAAAAGTATGAACCAGATGTCCTGATCTGCCACCTGAGATGGATCCTCAGGCTGAAGCCTCTCTGTGTCTTTTCTCTCAGTTATCTCCTCCACTATTTCTGTTTTACGCCATGTCTCCTCTTTTTCTAGCCTCTCCTCTGACATGACACCAGCCTGTACTTCTTCCATTTCTTCCTGCCACTGCCCTCTGTCTTCTACAATAGTCACTCTCTTCTTAGACCTACGCTCCACCTTCCGGTATGCTACTATAGTCGTGGTACCGGTGACATCTGAAGAGCCAGATGTATCCTTCACTTCGTCTTGCTGTTCCATTTCTATCTGGCGTACATTCTCTATTAAGCTATCATATGATAGACTCTCATCTGTCACCTCCTTCTCACTCTCCCGCTTCACCTCGGCCTCTTCTTCCTCAGGCAACAAGCCTTTTAAAAACACCCGCTTTATCTGCTCCTCCAGTTCATCCACTTCATCCTCATTTGTCCCTATTCTCCTCACTGATTTCCTCACCACTGTTTCTGTTATAGTTTCAGCTTGTATTTGTAAATCTCTCTCTTCCTCTCTTAACTTATCTACCTCTTCCTTACCTAATTCCTCTTCTATTACTTCCTGAAGTCTCTCTGCCATCTCATCCACTTCTTGGAGCCTTTCCTCTAAATCCCTCACTTCCCTCAGCCTCTCTTCCAAAACTTCCACCTCTGTCAGTTTGTCTATCAAAGTCACAGTTTCCTGTAGCCTCTCAATGACCTCCTTATTGGTCAGTTCCTGCTCTGCCACATGCATGCCCTGCTCATCTTCCTCCTGGAGCTGGTACTTAGCTACAGGAGAGACTGGGAGGAGTAGAGGGGAAAGTAAAACAAAATCAACCATGAAGAGAACCAAAATGTGATTCACATTTCAGGCTTAAATCCTTTTTTGTACTGACAGTATTCAAATTGTAGGTCATATTTCCACACAAAGAAACTCACATGGTTTGTCAACAAGCTCGAGCGAGGAAAGGCTGAAGATTCGGTCAAAGTAAAGGTACCAATCATCTTCCTGTGTCAGTGCTGGTCGCAATAGCCTGTCCATAGAGCTAATATTTGCCAAGCTGATCTTAGCTGACAACATCAGAGAAACAATGAACAATTTTATAACAGATGAGTAGACAAGAGCGACACACAAAAAGTGAAACTACTTGAAAACAAGGGGCAGAATAGCACCACATGCTTGGTTTCTATAGAAGCCTCTGAGGATAATGCAGAGTACATGTAGTGGTATCATTTTACAAAATTCATGCTGGCCGGAATAAATACAGATTAGATGCAGGTTCTTTAAAATCCAAGCCAAACTGAAAGATTAAGAGATTTTGGGTTCATATTTCCTTATGGCAAACTGCTAAACAACCACTGGCAGGCATGAAAAGTGCAAATACCTGGCTGTTTCACAAAATCAAATGGTGGGACAAATGGAAAGGGGGGATAGCGATAGAGCAGGGCAGACCACTCGTCTTCCTTTCTCCTCTGCTGTTGCTCATCAGATGCCAGCTCCTGCCACGGCTGACTGGCTGTCTGGTTGATAGTTTGAGAGCCAGTCTGCCCAGTCTCAGTGTCCTGCCAGGTTTCTGTGACTGTGTGAACAGACTGCCCCTCCTCCCAGGACTGAACGAAAGTCTGCTCGGACTCCCCTCTGGCTGTGAAGAGATGACGAGGTGATGGCAGTTATGTAATGGCTCTACTGAAGTGATGACGGCCAACTGTGAATGCTTCACAGTGCTTCAAGCATGTTTCTGAACAAAGTCAGATGCCAAGCATTTGTACCAGACTATTGTGAGTCCAGTAAGCTGAGGTTAGTAGGAAGCTGAATGAAAGTTGCCTCTCATCCATCATAAGAAGAACAGATGGTGATTACTTTATGAATGGTTAAGGTTCCAGCTTTATTCTGTTGTTAATGGCAGCCACTGGAGAAGTGCTGAGTGAGTCAGTCTGTTAAGATGTTGAACATAAAAAGTACAAGCAAATGAAAGCCATTGTGCAACACACATGAAGCAGCAACTTCTCAAAATGCCAAAAAGTGAGGAACAGCAGCCTCAAGACTGGAAATGCCTGTGCATTATTGTGTGAGGAAACTCCTTACTTACTTCAGAGTTTACAGTGACCCAAGATACCCTGGGATCATGCCAGGGAAATTACAAGTTGGGTGACATTACCGACATGTCACAGTAGGTCAGCATTCTGACAAGAGCTGTGCTGCAGCTGACAATCTTTTCAGAAGGTTAACGGCCAAGAAAGCAAATGAGCCACAACGGATGAGCATGTTAAATGGTGTGATGAGGCTGTTTGCGAGCGAGAATAAAATAAATACTGCAAATATTGCCAGAAAAAGCGCTGGTGCAGCTCCACACAGTTCCTGGTACCTGGGAATATAGGAGAAGGCTGCGGTTTTTCAGATGCCTTTAACAGTGACCAATCATCAACCTCAGACCTGGTTGATGCCGATAGTTGTCGCAGGAACTGGAGAGTTTCATCTCCAGCTAGAAGAGCCAAACAAGTCACAATGTAGCTTACTGAGATTGACACGTGGCTCAAAGATTCCACTACGGATTCACACACACACGCTTGCACATACCTCCATCTAGGTTACGGGAAAGCCTCTTGCTCGCAGAGCGTGTGAAGCGAGGGGCTGGGCGGTCAATCATGGAGCTGGCCTGGCGGGTCTGAGCCTGAGTGCGCCCGCTGTACCGGAACTTAGAGCCCAAGGCGAGGAAGCGGCGTGTTGACGGGGGCTCTACTGTTGGAACTCTGAAGGACAAAAACACTTGTTAATTATCATCCACCCACCATTTAATTCATTTGATTATTATCAGAGTGACAGATCCACATACCAGGAATTCAAACATAAACTATACTAAAGCAAAGGATTGCATTCCCTAAAAATTGTCACTGTTATGCAACAAGGCTAGCAACAACTTTGACCTTCATCTTATTAAGTAGACGAAACCGTTGAGGTTTAATTCTAAGTCCAGGACCACGGGCAGGTAGCTTTTCTTCTGTGGTTAAACTGCCAGGGAGCTAATATAGTGCTTAAGCTGCATAGACCAGTTAGCCAATTATCTAGGGGATAGGCAGAACCTGAGAAGGGCCTCTGCTGCCAGGGAGGAAAGATGTTGTTCAGAATAAGGTAAGGTCTTACCTGAAGAAGGTATGGTGTTCAACACAAACTTTCCACAGCTTCTTCGAGGCTTTGTAGTTGGGCAGTTTAAAGCCAATCGTGCTTTCATACTGCTCTTGCTGGAGGTGAGGAAAAGAAATAAAAAGAAAATGACCTTATGTCAATGACATTATTCTGCCATGCAGCATGAAACATGAAAAGTTTACCCCAGATCTGGGTTGAATTAAACATTTTGTAAGTCCTGTCAATTCTAAAATTTCCTAAATTGAAAAACATTACTGCTAAAATATTTTTAAATGCTACTTATCATGGAAACAGAACTGTCAACAATGTGATTATAATCCCACAATTATGTGTGTAATACATATTATAGTGTAATATTATTGTGATAAATTTAATTTATGAACATAAAAATAAGTCTAAGTAATGGACAACAGTTAATCTGTAGGTAATTAATAGAAGTCAATTCTTGACACAATTCCAAGACCAAGGCAACAGATAGGAGGGAGAAAATGTTTGTGGATGGGATATGTGGTTGTGATGAGTTAGAAAGATAAAAAATGTGAATGTAAAAATGTAAATTCAGATTTACCTCTGATGCCCTGATTTTGATAAAGAAGCTACTGCGTTTGTAAGAGATCTTGAGCACTTTGGGCCAAGGGAAACGGTTGATCCTCAGCTTGTCCTTGTAAACCATCAGGCCACTAGAGCAAACCCCCAGCGTAATGTCGACACCATCAAGATCCTGCACGCACAAAAACAGGATGATAAACTTGTTATGATACTGTAGCAGTGCACACATCACCCTAACCCTGCACTTACAATGAACAGTCACTGGGAGGCAGACTTTTCCACACTATGAGGACATGGATTTTGAGGTCATAGAGTTTGAAATGTTATTAATCTCTCCCTTTTTTCTGACAGGGGGGCTGACATCAATTTTGTAATTAAATTCTGGATGCTACTGATGTAATACAAGAATGCCGTTGCAAAACAATGACATAGTTGAATTATGAACTTAAGCATTTAATAAATCAGTTAACCCACACAACACTAAATCATTTAAACAAAACCCTACCTTGGCATGGTGCAGGTCAACTCCATACATGGCAAGTTTCTTGGCATTTTCCAGAAACAACATGTCTGCTTGGGCTGGACTCATTGACCTGGAAAAACAAGGATAAGAAGTCTTCACAAAGATACATTTTATTGTCTGGACTATTTGAAAGAATGTGTTAATTAAAGATTGCCATCACTATGTTGCTCCAATCAGTGCCCATCCCCTTTGATTACCTGTATGTGCGGTGCAGCTCCATCACCTTTTCCTCCAGCTCTTTGCTCTGTCCGGGGGCCAGGCTCAGGTCATGAACGTAGTCTGTTCCATGGAGCTCTGGGTCATACTCTCCGAGCTCTGACTGGGCTGCGTAGGAGCCCAGCAGGGACAGTGTGACAAAGGAACAGGGCAGAACACCACGCATAATGTCCTTCCTCAGCTGGAGGCACAGAAAGTACCTGAAGAAGACGTGAAAGGGAAAAAATAAGCTCACTTACAGAGACATAAAAACTTAATTCTGCTTTGCCTTGCTATGACCAAAGTTAAAGAATAAAGCTCACTAAATAACGTTATATATCTGTGAATTAGTCGATTTCCCGCAAACTATCCCTTTAACCCTCGGGACATTCACCTGGTGAGGTCTTCAGTAAGCTGTGCTGGATCTGGAGGGTAGAATTTCACGTTGAATGTAAACTCATACACAGCACCCGACACCTGTTTCCGGATCTCTTTGGTGGCTTCCAACCATGTCTGTGGAAAATGAGGGGAAGAAAAAACATCCCCCACTTATCACAACCAATTTCTTGCCGGCATTATGTTAAATATCTGGTTATGCTGTTGCAGCCTACCTTGTTAGTCGGTGTTTCCCAGTTAGCGAGGCCAAAGTAATCTTTCTCCAGCAGGTTGACGTGGTCACACACCTTTGTTAAAAGTTCTTGGCCTTTAGCATGTTTCTACACGAGAAAGACAGACACACAGACAGAGGGAAAGGGATATTCATAAGTCTTCATAACCATATTCATCTTTAACAAGGATGATAGCCATTTGGGAGGTGTCTTACATCAAGCTCACACTCAAACTGAGTGTCGTCCAGTAAGATGACTTTGCACTGCATGGTTTTCTGACGTTTGGAGCCTTTAGCCTCTTCTGCCTTCTTCTCGGTCTTCTTTTCTTTTACAGGTTTCTCCTTCTTCGCCTCCTCCTTCGCCTTTTCCTCTCCTTTGGCTTCTTTCTCCTGTTTCGCTGGTTCTTCCTCTTTTTTCTCCGTGTCCTCCTCCTTCACTTCCACGGCTTCAGGCTCCTTCTTTATCACAGCTTCCTCCTTGTGTTCCTCTTGAGGCGGCTGGTAAAGGCAAAACAAGACATTTGCAAAAGTGTGTCAAATACAAATGAAAAGCATGTCTGTGTTAATGACTATGAACTACATATCTTGGTAAATGTACTGCTGTTCAGGCCAGCATGGACATTTTTGTTTCTGACCAAGCTTTTAGCTCAAACCAGCAATAATTACTTTCGCTGAGCAAGCACATCATAAAAAATTCATTAGAAAGAAAGAGAACATGTGTTCCCCTACTACAGTCAAATCTGCAGCATGGATTTATATACAGGAGAGCTCTGTTTTTGACCTTCATCTGCAATGCTGTTTGAGATTGCAGACTTATAATTTAAAGAAAGGCTTGACATTTTGGGATTATCTCATATCTATCCATTAAATATGAAGCTACAGTCTGAGGCCGGTTAGCTTAGCTTAGCATAAAAATAGAAAGCAGATGCAAATGACTAGCCTGGCTCTGTCAAACAGATAACACAATTTACACTTCAGTTTTTGCTGGCTGCAGGCTGTAGCTTCGCATTTAAACAGACATGAGAGTGGTTTCAATCTTCTCATCCAACTCTCTGCAGATAAGCAGGTTTCCCAAAATGCAATACCAGAGATACTCTAAGTGTAATATCCGTCAGTGCCACACTCACCTGCTCCTCTGCGCTGCTTATTGAGTGCTGATCAGGAGCCTGTTCAGCGTCCGGCTCGGTTTTAAGCTCAGGCTCCGGAGCAGCAATAGGGGCTTTCACCTGCTCCTCACTCGGCCCTTTCACCTCCTTCTTCCCTTTGTTCTTCCCCTTCTCTTTTTTCTTCCCTTTTTCCTCTTCCTTCTTTTGCTTTTCTTCTGCCTTTTCCTCCTCCTTTCCCTCTTTCTTTTTTGACTCCTCTTTCGGTTTCTCCTCTTCTTTCTTTTTTGACTCCTCTTTCGGTTTCTCCTCTTCTTTCTTTTTTGTCTTCTCCTCTTTTGATTTCTCCTCCTCCTTCTTTTTGACCTTTTCCTCTTCTTTCTTCTTTGTTTTTTCGGCCTCTCTTGCCTTTTCTTCCTCTTTCTTCTTTGCTTTCTCTTCTTCTCTCTTCTTCACCCTTTCTTCTTCCTCTGCTTTCCTCTTTGCTTTTTCCTCTTCCTTCTTCTTTACCTTTTCCTCCTTTTCTTTTTTCTTTGCAACTCTCTTGTCAACGTTTTCCTCTTCTTTAGTCTCTTTCTTTCCAGCTTCTGCCCCCTTGTCTTTAACTTCGGCAGTCTCCTTCTTTTCTTCTTCTTTTGCCTCCAACTTTTCCTCCCTCTTTTCTACAGTCGGCTGTGCTTTCTCTTCCTCCTTTTGCTCCTCTTTCTTTTTTAAGTTTTCCTCTTCTTTTTTCTCCTCCTCCTGCTTCACTTTCTCCTCATCCTTTTTCTCTTCTTTCTTCTTGGCTTCTTTTTTTTTCTTTTTACTGCCTTTCTTCTCAACTTTTTCTTCCTCTTTCTTTTTCTCCTCTTTTTGTTCTACTTTTTCTTCCTTCTTTTTCACTTCTTTTACTTCAGATGTTTCCTCCACTACTACTTTAGCCTCCTTCACTTCACTTTTCACTTCTTCCTTCTTTTCCTTCTTCTCCTCTTCAGCTTTTTCCTCTTTGTCTGCTTTTTCCTCCCCGGCTTTCTCTGCTTCAAACCCCTCTCCCTCGGAACACTGCGAGCGGCGTTTGAGGAAAGAGGAGAAAAGGCGAGACAGGCCTTTGCCAGCGGAGGTCCGGGTGCGGGGCTTCAGCTGCTCCTCCTCAGGGGAGGTAGCTACGTCAGCAGGCCCAGGCTCAGAGGCCTGCTCCTGGGCTTTCTTGCCCGATGGCTCCCCCTCCGACTGGGACGCGGGTGCCTCCGGTTTCTGCTTGTTCGCTGGTTCGGTTTCGGGCTCGGCGCCACTGGCCTTCTGCTTGCCCTCAGTGTCCGCCTCGCTCACTGCACTTGCTTCTGTTGTCATGGTAGCCACTGGGAAGGAGAACAGAGGGGAATCAGAGATGGAGAAAGGTCACGGTGCTGTACAGAGTGTAACAGTGCACAGCACGGCTATACTTGGAACACAACAAACAAGATTAGGAGCAATGGACTATTAGCCTGTGTGTAGGAAACAATGGTAAGCAAATGTAATAGATGGGTTGTTGTATACTGATACAATAAGTAATGTGTACTGTTGTTTATCAGTAAATCACTGATGTTCAATTCAAGGATTATGATAAACAACTCATTTTGAAGCAAACATTTGCTGATTCTAGATTACACATACAGAAACACAGATACATTCGCTTTTTGGTTTTTCTGTTTTATATCATTGTGTCAGGGAATGTCTTTTATTTTTTGACTGTAGCGAAAACAAGGAATTGTTGTGATGGCTAATTTTATTTTACTATTTTGTGAGTTTCTACAAGTTAAAAAAATAATAGCTTCATGATGAAAATAACTGGCAGATGAATCAATATTGAAAATATATTATTAGTTGTAGCTCTACAAACAAAAAAAAAAAGTTTTTGTTCTATACAATAAAAAATTACATGAACACAACAAGCCAAAACATTTTTTTGCTTATTGTTCTCAATACAGAATGATCTAATGTTATCTTTTATCATGCAAATAGGGTAATCTGTATGCATAATTCATTATTCTCACTTATCCAAATTTTATTTATTTATACAATATTGTCTCATTTAAAATGAGGATCTAATCGAGAGCAATTTACCATATTATAATATGTAATTTACATTGCTGCTTTAAGTTTTCATTAGTTGCCTACTCTGAGTGGCATGAGACTTATTCCATAAAACATGAAGCCAACTGCCTCCCACAGATTACATTCTGACTCAAAACACACATACTTGCACACACATACACAAACATCACTGCATCACACAATAGCCTTCCTTGTTGAAGATTGTGTCTGTGTCTACATGGAGTTCTGAGGGCACAACATGGCCTATCACAGACTCATTAAATCTCACTGACACAAAGGAGGCATTCTGCTCCAGAGCTGCATATTAGCACCGCCTGGATCATCCTCGCCAAACATGCATGGCTTCATCTCACACAAGCCTATCCTGCACAGGTCATCTGAGGCAGCAGGACTAAGCGATATGATGGTATATTCCATGAGATGATATAGAACAGTCAATCAACTGTTAATATTTTTGGTGAATTAGGCCACTTTGGGCAGTGCTACAAACCAATGAGCAAGACTGCTTCATGGCAAAATTTTTCAATGATGAAGAATGTTAACTTTTCATCTATTTAAATTTGCCAAAAACCGACATTTCTGTCTGGTTATTTAATGCAACTGTCTCTAAATTGATTTTAACAGATTTACAACATCGAAAATTACATATTAGAGCATGGACAGTTAATATGGTTTTGTATCAGCTGATATTAGCTTAACGTAGATAGAAGAATTGTTGCTTTTTATTTCCATATTGATCACAATGATTTAACAAACAAATTTATGGGATTCTAATTGAAAAATCATTATCAGCTAAATACTGTAAAAGTATTTTTTTAACCTCTGACATTACAATATCAGTATCTGCCTCAAAGCCTCCAGTAACTATATTACATATACTCTGATCAGATTGTATCCATATGCTCTACTTCTACACAGAACATTTACTGTGCATAGCAGTAAATACGGTACCTGTCCTTTTCAACCAGACTGTACAGTAGTTATAGAACATACCACAGTCACAGTACAAGAGCCTTAAGGTTTAATGCACACGATTCTGATTCACTGTTGTGGCAGCGAGAGGACAGGTCTGGTATATTTAGAAACTTCTAACCAGCTAATTGAATCACACAACTGACTGAAATACACCGCAGGTATTATGCAATCCCGCCACACCTCTCCTAGGTGAGATTCATCAGTTACAGTGGCTCGCATCACAATCACTTTTTGTCTTCTGTGAGACTGATTTGCATCCTGTCTGGAGTAGGCCTTGTCTAATTGGTGTGGCTGTGTTTATCTCTTCCATATGTAGTTCAAGTCCCACCCGGCCTCACATGGAGTGGGGGGAGGGGGAACGCTAGACAGGCAGACAGGCAGGCTGGCCAATCTTCCAGATGTACAGCGCCGCCCCAAAGGGTGCAGCCTGGCCCTCTATACCATACACTTCCTACTGGCACTACAGGACAGCAGGAGAGGAGGAGGGGGCACACACACACAGAGACCAAATCCTCTTTAGCCCTCCCATTGTTTGTGTCCAGTGACCAATAACTGTGCTGCAAACTATAACTAATCCTACCTACCCTTCCCCCCACAGGACCCCCCATAGGCGTATTCCCTAGGTCACCACACACACACACACACACACACACACACACACAGTACAGACACACACACACACACACACACACACACAGCACAGACACACACACACCTCTCCTTGCGGTCAGTGTTGCCACCAGGGAGAGGGGTAATTTAAGCCCTGCTTGATGTAGCCTATTCATCACTGTCCCGTGGTCCGCGCTTCAAAATTAAAGTCTGATCTACAAAGTTAGAGTGAAATGAGATAAAAAATTGGCAGAGGTCACCGAGGGCCAGGCCAGTCAAAACACAAAGTTGCGGCTCAGCTGGACTGGTATGAGGAGCTGCTTTTATTATCCTTTCTCTCTATTTTGTGTGTTACTGGTTGGGATTTTTGATTTTAGGGGAAAAGGTCAAATTAGTAGAAAGACTTGTTGGGAGGCCGGTGGGTCAGTGGCAACAAACTTGCAATGGGGGCCAGTATACTCCTGACTGATTAGCATTAGCATAGCCTACATCTGTAGCAATAGATTTGTGTATTCTGTGCACCAATAAGACACTTGAAAGACATGTGGTGGTCCATGATTGGTCCCAACTGTTGTCATAATAATAACAACAGTTTAAAATAGAAATGTTTTATTGAAAAAAATTGCTTTAAGCACTTTAAGCATTGATTGGGATCTTACAGAAAAATGAGTAAAAATAATAACCAATTTTTCTAAATGAACCATTTTTACCCCATCAATTCATTTTCTTATCGTCTTACCTTGTTAAAACCCTATATTTACAAAATGATTGAAGTAGTAAGCTTTACTTTTGACACAAACCAGTCCTGACAAAACACTGAAATGACCATGAAGCTTTGTTAATACACCAAATAAGGAACTGGTTTATGTGTTACATGGGCTACGAAGGCATTATTTGGGATTTGGGAGGAGTAGTGCTGCATAAAAAGTACTGTCAACACCGACGAGTGTTATGAAAATCTATTTATTTAACCATATTTTTCAGCTGGGGTTCCTGTGACTCAAACAGGAGTAATATATCATTCTCTCTGAAACATGTAAGCAGCTCAAAATCATGTTTATAAGCAATTCTTATAAAATTAGCCAAAGTATATATAGCTGATAAAACAACATTTCCAGTTTGTCATGCTTCCAGGACCACAAATTGAACATTAGAATTAAAGATGCAGTGAAATGGATGAGGGATAAATTAGTAAATGAGACTGCAACCGTGCACATTTTTGCTGATACTGGCACACGACCCGTGATATTGCAGGTTTGCAGGCTAACGAGGCCAAGGGTTGCCTTGTAGTGCAATTTTATTGGATATAGTGATGTACACGTCCCTGAATGCAGAATGAGAGATGATAAATCATCTTTAATGAAAGACAAAAGAGGCGGATTTTGATATCTTAATCCTCAGAATTGCTTTTTTTTTTTACACATATTTTATATATATATATTTATAGGATATCTTTACTAATGCATACAGCTCAATAAAGATATATAAAGAAGAAGCACAAACAGTGTGTTTTTAGTGATACAAAAAGTCATAAACTGCAAAGTAAATCCATAGAAATTTTTAAGAGTATAAGTATTTCTGAGGAAATGTTTGTGTCTAGTGTCTGATGCAAGTCTGATGAGTTACACTGTTTATCAGCATACAGTGTGACGGCACACTGCTGAGTGAGTCACTGCTTCCTCTGTACTGTGTACATGTGTGTGTTTTGTGGCAATGGGTGCGGAAACCAGGCTGACGCTGCAGCTCTATTACAGGCACTATTACTGGATGGGGTGACTGGGCGTGGAAGATTCCTCCTCTTCCACAGAGAGACCACCTGGTGTACCACAGCGACAGCGAGGGCACGAGCCACAGCACGAAACACAGCAGCGACAGGTCTGTGCGACGTCAGGGAAACCAGAGCTGGGCAGACATGCGTAAGCGAAGACGAGGAAAATGAAATGAGAAACAGTGCGTGTGACGTAAAAGCAGGTACGCCGGTGAGCAGAGGGATGAGAATCTTGGCCATAAAAGGACGTGACGCATATTACATCCTTCCAGTTGCTGGAGAGTGAACGACATCCCTCACCTGTGCATGAAGGATACTCTTCTACATGTAGAACACAGCAAGTTGCGTAGGTGTGTGTGGACATAAACACATGTACACACGTACAGCCACAGGGTGAGCAGACTTAAGCGGAGATGAGATCACCAGAGCACTCTAAGTCTTGCTATATTGGCAAACAGCAGCGTCTCACACACACACACACA